CATCATGTACTAAAAGTCTTACAATAAGTAACAATCTTTGGATGGATCTACAAAAGCCATGATTCTCAACTCAATATGGAATCTTTCAAGTCCTGACTTTTAGTTCTAGAATTTTAGTGCCTATTGTTTTTTTTGTTTTAGTTACATATTAATGCACTTTTGCCATATTTACATGATACCAGTAAACAGTGTAATCTATTTAGGAAAATCAAGAGAAACCAATATAAACAGCCCTAAAGTAAAATCACTCCTCCTACTGGTTAGGCCCAGAACATCAGAATAAATAAAATGTCAGGCATGTTTGCATAATTAAAACCCCAGAATCTGCATTATGTAAAAAAAAATTAAATAAAAAATAGGTTACACAACATCAGTTCAGGAGGGAGTGCTGTTGACCATTCTATAGTCAAGGATTTCCTCAAACCATGTGAAGGCCTCCTGATGCAGGATACCAAGCAATAAAAAAACTGATGATCATTATGATATGAAATATCATAGCACATGACAGGCCAAAATGTAAGTGTTGCAACTACATCATAAAGAAAGCAAAGCCAAAAGGTCAAATGCCTATAATGCATAAAATATTAATACCCTCCCCTACTGTCAATACTACATTGCATAAGAATGGGTATTTGGACATTTGTCTGAGCTGAGATACCATAAGGTAATATTTTCAGTTCCTGCCAGTGTTTGGCTCAAACTGTACGCACATTCACCCTTATATATTGTATTGTATTGTGTTTCTATAATGTATAATTGGCATCAGTACTCTATCTAGGTAATGCCGTTAATATGGACTTGTGCATTTGCCTCTGTTTTATATTCTTGTTCTCCTGTTTGAACCACAGTTGAAATGTTTAGCTATCATTACGGTTTACCCTTGGACTTCGATGTAATGCAACATGTGTTGTACCGCAAATCTATGTCTAAACAGTATTGTCTGATCATAAGAGGAATTAACTGACTCTGACCTTGACATTTAATTATATTAGTGAAGGTCACCATCCAAACTAGTGAGATGGCAATCTGACTTAGTTACCTCTAGTCTAACGGTACAGCAAACAGCATAACAGTAAACAATGCTATCAAGTACCGATTTAAGAATAATTAGAACGGCCCTTCCACTGTGACAAATCATCTTACAAAATTATTGTAATTGTGTAGACCTGTAATTATTTAATTGTAATTTAGCATCATTAAAGCGTCATTCTGTCAAATAATCAATTGCAAACCAACTGACAAACTCTTTAAAAGTGTCTTGCAGTGGCATTTGAGCATTACGTTTGAAGCACTAAGAGGGTTTGATGTTTCCAAAATAAACAGCACACAATGCCTCCTTTTGATCTACGAATACCAATATTCCTAAGATCATGATTCATTTGTTGTTTTTTGGTCACATTTATCATTTCCATCTCACCAAAAATAGACAAAAGAATATGTTTAACATTTCTTTAAAACTTTAGTAAACATTAAGAATAGGAATATAAATTCATATTAACCCTAAGCCACACTAACCCTGAGTCTGTACGTATTAATATCGCATCTATCACAAGCAACATACATACATAAATAAATAAATAATCATGCACAGAAATTAAACCACTTTGATGTATCATTAAACATCAAACAATATTCAAAAGTGATGGGGCATGAATGTTTAAAAAAAAGTGTATGAAAACATGATCACGACCTCTTATACTGCACAATAATGGTTAAACTCAATGAGCTGATCATTATATAAACAACAATCAATATACACCTTAGATCAATAATCACACAATAAACACATTACTCTTTAGTGCAAACAAAAAAAAAAAAAAAAAAAGATAAGATAAGCTAAATAAAAATACAAACTTACATATTAATATTAATGTTGGGAAAAGCTCCTAAAGAAACAATACATTTTGTTCTAAAACTAGAGGGCTTAGTTAATGTTTATATGATATCACTTACTAACAATACCTTATTGTAGTACCTCAAAACTTCAAGAAACATAAAGCCACTCAAGAATGTACAACTCTCACTGGTTCGTCTAGGTACATAACGTCTTAAACGTTTATCGTCTTTACAGACAAAATTGTCACATATTTCCAAGCATCACATAACTGACATTGCTAGAGCTATGAGCTACATTTCATTACTGAAAAGTGATAAGAAAAATCTCGTTTAGTAGCTAAACTATAGTGCATTAACACGTGAAAACCAATTGAAGGAGGCACAGACTGGATATAGTGAGACTGTTGTGACTTCCAAAATATGTATTTGTATTTGCAATACATTCAAGTATAACTAAAAAGTTTATTTTCGGTTTTGGTATACACAGCCCTAAACTAACATAAAACATACTTCTCAAAGTCTTGTTCACACATAAAGCAACTTAAAGTCGGTAAAGCTGACAGACAAACACCCTTCATGCAGCCAAGGCCCTCCTCCCTATCTTAACTACTGTCCAAATCAGCCATAAAACTACACACGTTTTTAATTGATACACATACAGTACGCGACTAAAAACAGATTCCAACTGAATTAAACAGGTGCATAAGAATAAGGGACAACGTGTTCAAATGTATGCGGAGCAGTCTTGTACTACGTTTGGGGAAAAAGCTTAATTCACAGACTAATATAGCCTACTAACTTGTATTTGACTTAAATGTGCTGACTAAAATGAAAACCTAATTTGCTATAAATATAGAAAGAGTTAACTTACTCGACGTTGCCCTCCCTGCAGACTCACGAAGAATTTTACAAAACAGTTCTATGAAAGGAGGCCGGTATCAGATATAAAAAAAAAAGTGCAGTGAAAAAAAATAATAAATAAAAACACAGAAAATATTGTTTCTGGCATAGCCTATATATTTGTAATAATATTTTAAGTTAAAAAATGACTTGAGAATGCTATAATATTTTATGACGATTTATAGTAGCCTACACTGCCTTACGTTACCTAATGCATGCCTAGCTACATCACTCTCTTATAAAGGCGTAAAAACGGTCTGAAACACAAAGAAATACACAGGGAGAGATTCAAATTTTCACCGAAAAACTGACATTTGACATGGATTAGAGTAATTGGGCAAAACGTGGTTATTCAGACATCCACAGGTTTAGAAGACGACTGGCTAACAGCAAAGCTAGCAATAAATACATTAACGCAGAGCAGCACACAGGGTTAACAGAACAGAGGTCATGATTTATTTAATAACAATTCGCTTGTATTCCATATACGCCAGCACTTCACTTTTAAAAAATCCTTAACGTTTACTGAAATAATATTTGACCGTTAAAATATAATTTGTGTGTCTTATCAATCAGTAAAGGGGTACAGTCAAACTTCCAAGGCCGCACTACCAACCGTCTGAGAGACTGGCGCTCAGCAAAAAAAAAAAGAGGAGGAAGAAAAGAAAAGGTGCTAACAAACGTACACATTGCTAAACAAGATGCCAAAGCATTTTGTTTATATGGTAAAATAACAAGGTTTCCTTCTTTCAGCTCATTCGTTCAGATAAAACATTCCAAAAATCAAAGTAGCCAACATCGAATAGAATCTCCCCACAAAAATGACAACCTTTTCATATCATTTGCTATAAATAAACAGATTATATAAGACAGACATTTTATAATACAGCGTCGGGAAACAGAGGGCATACGATAAATTAATGAAAAACGTGACTGGGGTGTTTTTTCCACAACGGGCCAATGCCATGGTTCCCATACCCACCGTCTCGTATCCTACACCACATAGAGATAACAATACTATCAGCGCTGTGATCGGACCGCTGCTTGAAGGCCCCGTTACCTCCAAAACCTGAAGACGAGCCGCTCTAGTTTTGCCATATGAAGTTTTTTGTATTAAAATGGCCGAGTGATTTATTGTTTGCTTAGCCTACAAACGCGTGCGTTATAGGCAACAAGCTGGCACTTCACAACACGGAGTCAAAAAGAGGTCATTCAGTAGGTACAGGCATTAGAATACGGAACAGATGGCCATTTATCTTTTGTAACTAAAACTACATTTCGGCTTCTTCACATACTTGGAGCGAGGGCTAAAATTCCGGTCACTTGGTTAGGTTGCGTATCCTAATTTAATGATGACAAATAACGGACATGTTAAAGCGCCCGATACACTCCCTACAAAACTCCATAGTTTCTATAGAATTTGTCCGAGCTTCTAAGAACGTCTACACAAAACAACAACATACAAAACAATTATGTTTATCTCCGATATCCCGAGACCGGAGGCTAGCGCGCAAATCTACCGGGGTCAATAAAATATTAGCAATAGCCCGGAAAATACTGGGATTCCAGATAAGCGGCTGAAATGTTTAAATCATCATTTCAATCTCGTCTATTCCTCTATAGCTGAACAGAGCATTTTGTATCGTAGCCCTGACGGTCTTTAATCGCTGATACTTGACACTTAACACGCAGTTAGAGAGGTGTTATTCTATCAAATATTTTGGTCGTACGGAAGTCCCTAGCGGCTCTGTTGAGTCGTATTGTGCTTTTCGTGTCATGGTTCACTGTAACGTCTAACACTTCGCAAAATAAAAATAATACAACTTATAAAAAACTACCGAAAAAGTCTTCATAGCCTGCCAACTGTTAAACTACAAGAAGATCAGTGATCAAGCAAGGAATTATATGGTCATTTTACCTGAGACGTCACTTCGGGCAACCACGAGTCTTTTTTTGTTTAATATCAGACAAACATTGGCTGTTTTGAGAGAACTCAGCCTACAGATCCTATAATCCGGAGTGGCAATTATTTTACAACTAAATGTAATTTTACAAGTTTTCTGTATCTTCTTCAAAGCTGGTTTATGTATAAGATATTGATGAACAAGGACTAAAGTCTTGTATTTGAGCTATTAGCATATGCTTCATGCTTAAGTTTTTTCCCCCACCTCATATCAAGGGAATGACTTCTATTACTCTTATAAATAGCCTAACATAAATAGTATAAGTACCCTCCCCCTCCCTTCCCTCTCCCTATTTCTTACCTGCTGCTTTAAGTGTTTCTTCTCCAGTGGCTACAGCGCTTCACAGCTTCCCCGGTTTTCCCCAGGCAAGTACTGAGTTTTTTAATATTGTCCCTTACTTTGTTTCATTTCTCACTTCCATCTTCTTTCATCTCATCAATAAACACACGCTGCAGCCTACCTTCGGAGAGGACATCACGCAGCTCACTCGTGCCCTCCCATTTTTTCACTATTCGTCGAAGATTTTGGGCAGCCACGCCTTTCTACTGGCGATTGGAACAGAATGGACTTTCTTGAAGCACGTAGGTTGTGATATAAATCGTTCAACATGACTTTACCCCAATCGGTGAGCCGCACGCCCTCCCTTCCGCGCGGCGAGGAACGTTGAAACTGGCTCCATTGTGGCTCTGAAAGTGAAACTATTCTGCCTTATCGCAATTGTCGTGCTTGAACCAGCATGGCCACTGTGCATCCTCAGTTTCTTAATTATCGGTCACTGTACAAGTGCGCCGTTTTCCGTTGAGTATTTCGATGCGCTTGTTGTGGTCCCCTTTTGAGGAGTTTCTGCTTGTACGCGCTGCTTCTTGAGGATAAACAAATGCATACATTGCAAAGACATTGACGTTATTTGGTGTTATGAGCGCGAATTAAACTCCTTGAAATCTATGTCCCATCCTCGATCAAAAGGCCAGTCATCCGAGAATCCTGCATGTTAATCAGTTATAGATAGCCTACTTTAGATTGGTTAGGGACGACGTCAATACAGTTCTCAAAATCATATCTGGTCCCACATTGGACGATGACGCTGCCTGTCAGTTGGAAGACCAACAAGCTAGATTGTTCACCGTGCCTTTTACTTTCTACGCATTTCTATTTTCTCATTTATTTATTTTTTAACGTCCCTAGCTGACCTCAAGGAAACGTAAGAAAAGTTGCTGACGGTATTGCTGGCCAATCAGATCGTGAAAAGTGACACCGAACTTTTTTTCTTCACCAATACGTTCACAGAGCCGTTGTGACTGACACAAAATAATGCAATAGTGGCTCACGAGTCCCCAGCTACACTGAGCACCCCCTCCCCCGACTCCCCCCAGTCTAGACAATGACAGGTGTGTGCGTGCGCGCGCGCGGTCGTCTGTAGTCTAGACGAGGAATAATCAACCTTCGAGCCTAAGTGATTTTTTTTCAGGCGCGCTGCTTTATATATATATATATA